AGGAATGAAATATGTTTTCATATATGACTTAGATATATTTTATTTCTAGAACACCTCCATGAAATCATTCATATTTTTCTGTTTGTACTTTTCCCGTATGAATAGCGTAAAATACAAAAGTTTGAATGGGCTAAGATAATATTTAAAGTAATTATTACAATTAGCGCTGTGCTACGGGAAGTCATTGATATGGGCGCGGTGCCTTTGAGCCCTAAAGGTACTCTCAATAAGCATAGTGTACATAACACTTAGCAGCATTCCTTTGTCTGCCTACTCCTTATTCCTTTGGAAGCCATGGAAATAGCCAAACTAGAACTAGCGCTGACATGCTTCTCTTCTTGAAATAGCAACTACATTTAACCGACAAATGTTGATATAACAGGGGGCAAACGGGCAGGAGTCTCACCTGATGTTAAGTGATAGATAACCGCCTATAGACACTCGCTTACAGGTGCCGACCTTTTAAGAATTGGTACGCTCTTTTCTTGAAGAACCTTAAGTCTAATTGCTTCGGAAATACATCAGTGGGCAGCTGGTTCCACATAGTGGTGGTGCGCAGCAGAAACTGCCTCAAAAAATGTACTTAAAATTAAAGTCGGAACCGCGAAGTGCGCTCTTGACTCGAACTATGCCTAAACCTATATTATAGGTATTTATTATGAAATCACACAGAATTCATCCGTGAAAAATACGCAAATAATTCATTATTTTTTTGGAAAAATTAAATTGAACCCACCTTGGATCTGTGCTTGCGCAAATACCTAGTCCAAAATTATTGACATAAACAATTTAAAAATTACAAATGCTTAAAATAATTGACTGCGGGAATATTTGCATCAAACAATTCTCATCAGTTACCATTTTCAGCCGCATATGTCCTTAAAATTTTTCCAAATTGATGTAAAAAGAGCAAAAAAGATAATGATTTCCAATTAGACACAATGGTTATGTTTCAAATATTTTACGGACAATTTACAAAATGCATCTTAATCGGATGCAACATCGTGACTTGGAATCCATTATTTAAATGCATTAATTAAATTAATTGGAAAACATAACGATTTTTATTATATTGCAGAAACGCACTTCAGGTACCTATAGCCGAATACAAAGCGCTATTCAATATAAAATATAACTTTGTTATGACGTAAATTAATAAGAATTTGATAGAAATAAAATAACTAATAGGGGTAATCTATATAAATAAATGAATCGCGAAATATGTTGCTAAGCGATTTCTTTTTATTTATTCCTTGAACTCTGTGGAAGGTTTTTATGGAGAGAAAAATTGGAAAACATTAAAGAAATTATTTATTTTTATAGTAGAAGGTTTTCGATTTTCATTTTAATTAAACTAATATACAGTATTCACAATTTTCTTAACCTACTTAGTAAGCAATACTCGTAATAATAATAATTAAAAATTAATAGGCAGTAACGCTGGCAGCATAAAGTAGGTACTTAGTAGTTTTATTTAGTACTTAGGTTTTATTCAGGAAAAGCTAACAGTCTCTATAGAATACCAAAATATGGAACATTTTGCTATGCTAAGGAAGTAAACAACAACAACAACAACAACGAGAGGCATAGAGTCATTTACCACAGATACCATTTTTTTTATACCCGAGGTGGAAATGCATTTTCGCATCCCCTGCCCCCGCGTTTTAGAGGCTCCGGGGTCGCTCTCGCATTCTACCCGGACCTTACCACAGATACCAAAGAATCATCACTTTCTCACAATCATCAGATAATTGAACGTTCAATCTATGTTAATGTACCTAGTATTGGAATTAAAGGCTTTGTATATATTTATACCTTCTTTCTCGCTCACTCAAACTTATCACTACTTCGAACGAACTTGTAGGTACCATTTATTCTATTATATCCTATTACCGATAGTTTTTAGTACTTTATATTTCGTATAAGTTTTCTGTTTAATATGTGTATCGTCAATTACTTCCATAATAAATAAGCCATTTTATATTTGTGACAAATAAATTCAAAGTATTAAAAGATTTAAAAATTATTTCATCATTATTACACAAGAACTCTAATTATTAACAAAATATTTGAACAGTCCGCCGTGCGAGGGCATTTAGAAATTATAAGATTTTTTTAAATCAGCAACAGTATTGTAATATTGATTCACAGAAGTCTAGGTTTTCTTTACTAAAACTGCGTGAACTTTCCTACTGAAGATGTCACAGAAGTCTGATTTATTTTTATAGAAACTATTACATTTGTATTATGCTGCTGACTTATATGATGATTAGGTATAAGTATGATAGGTAAATGCATTTTAAGCCTGGAAGCTGTCTACGATGCTTTTGGTGTTCTCATGCAGATACCAGCAAGTCCGTCCGCCACGTCCACGTCGTCCACTAGTACCTTCTGCGACCGAACGGAATACCCATGAGAGGTGAGTGCCCTATCTAAAACCTGTACAGAAAAAAAAGACTCAGGTCTTGGAGTTAAACTTGGCAGTCCCGTCAGAGGTTACGGGGCCCTATCACCTAAATACTCAAGAAGATTATTAGAAGAGCAACTGAATATGTATTATAATTCCGTCATAAGTGTTGCTATACGAATTCATCTAAATTTATTAATCGTTTTTTGTATTATCAAAAAACTCACTTATATTTATCTATAGTAAATTTACGCGCAAATCTCATATAGCTTTAAATTTCTAAATTAAAACATAACGTCGTAATATATGGCCTTGATACTTAACCCATTATTAAATACGACGCGCAACTTGACAAGTAAACGTATATATGTTCATCCTGTTTTCTCTAACGTCTTTTTAATGCGCAAAAATGAGATAAAATTATGTTTCGCATGCTTTATTTTTCGTAGGTCGGCTCGGCTTGGCTTTCGGGCTAGTATTGTCCTATATCGACGTTTTTTATGGACAAAAACAGAATACATACAGGATCACGTTTATGATAAAGGTTCTTTTATTACTAATTATAACGTTTGCAATACATACGAAATAGTTCCATTAGATGAAAAAAGTTATTTTGATATGTAAGACATTTTTGTGTGGAATAGCCACTCTATTTCTAATTCCTGTTTAATTCTCTTTACATTTTACCTACATAGACCCCTAAGACCAAACCAAAAAACGCCTAATATTTAATAATACTTGCGATGCCATTCCGCCAATCGAAGTCTAATTTTGCTTCGACATGTAAATATTTGTTTAAGAATGCAGTAAACTATAGACTAGGGCTTTCTAACTATGTATTAGTGTTCTGTGGATAGAGTAAAGAGATTCTATATTCCTATAGATTATTCGCTTTGGTTGCCCTGTTCCATATTTAAATTTTATTGAAATGGTCCTATATACTAGTATATCGTACCTACTGGCTACAGATTGATACTTTTTGTATAGAAGAACAAATGCTAAGAAATTTATTTACAGCATAATATCGTATAAGAGTGTTGATAGATTTCTTAAGCTTGGCTAAATATAATTTAAATAACGATTTAGAGTTATATTTTGTAAGTTCATAATTTAAGCGAGCGAATCCTTGAACTGTGATATTTGGAAATAAATAGATAAATAGTACGACATCGTTATAATAAAATCAGGAAGAGCTCGAATTCGAATACCTCCTTCGACATTTGTTTTAAGTATTTATGATGCTCTTTTGTTATTCTAAACATTAATTCGCAATTACGGCAGAATATTTAAGGAAATTTCTCATAGACACCCATCCGTACCATCAGCGACTTAGGTAATTTAAAATGATGTCAATGTACGATCGGAGATCCAGTCGGTATTGCGTTCTTATGGTCAAATACAGAATAGTAACATTGTCTTCCCTTATTCATTCCCAAGGTTGACAATCAGCAGAATTTTTACAAATTCCGGCAAAAACCAACCTAGGAGACACCTCTCATTTGAATTTTTCGCGAATATAACAGAATAAACAGTAGGTACTTATCAGCGCTTGATATCGGTAGTGGGCCGATGAATTTAAAAAAGACATTGTTAAGTGTCTATGTGATACCTAATCCGCATTGTCAAGCAAAAAATTACTAGTAAGATCTAAAATTGGAAGAAAATTTTTCACCGTGTCATATATTTTAGAATACATAGCTTGTCATATACTGTAGATGCATTATATATATGGTGATCTAAAATAAATAGGCCTTAAATAAAACGTGTGGGAAAAAATATAAACACTATTGAATAACATGAATTTATTTAGTTTATCAAATGTGTTTCGTGTAGGTGCTTCTTACATTAGTGTTTCCAAACAATATTAACACGCTATACAATGTCTAGGAAACATGTTTATGAACATTTTAGACGCAGCCAAGCGTAATTTTGCGTCACGTTTACCAAGTGTCGTTAGATGCATTACGCTTGCCACGAACAAATATTGACATCAAATTGATGAATAAATTATTTATATTAATACATTTTAATAACTTAACCGACGGCTAAGCAATGTATCCAGTCTAAATAAATCATATTTACAATTATAACTAAGATAATCTCAAACGCAAATTCTCAATGCCAATAATGCTTTACAATTTTGAATACATTTTCAAAGAGATTCTAGAAAGCTCTGTAATTTATTAAGCGGGAAACAAAAGTGCCACTGAGAAGCAATAGGTCATACTTATGTATTATATAAAAAATATATTTCTATATTTACAATGGAACATTAAATTAAACGCTTATCTAACTGGCTCAAGACAGCCGTAAGGCGAAACCGTTTAGGCACATACTAAGCTATAAAAGGCTGTGATTGTCCGTCTCTGAGGCGCAGGCTCCTTCGTTAATTCGTGATGAGGTATTAAATAACGAGGGAACGGAACTAACTAATAGCCTGAACCTCAGAGAGTATATACTCACGAGCAGACGGTGAGAATATTGCACTACGTTTATCACTTTATAAGAGGAATTTAAAGCACAACGCCCGTGGGCTTTCACTGGTCAATTGTCACTGATAAGTGTCAAAAACACCGAAATCTTCACTTTGCGGTCACAGCAGGGGGACGGGTGCAACGCTAGGCACCAGCGGCTCAGGCACGCCCTGTAGAACGCCTTGATGGTAGTGGTGATGGTGCATCATGCCGTTCATCATCTGTTGGTGATGCAACATTGTGGCGTGGTGTAACTGCGCGTGTTGGAGTGAGGCGTGATCGCCCTTCTCTTTCATCACTACCTCCTCGCGTTTCTTGACTTGTTTTCGCTCTTTAGCGCGACGGTTTTGGAACCATATTTTTACCTGTAACAATGTTGCATATTTATATGTTTAATAATTCCTATTGTCTATGTAATATGATGTATTTTAGTCACGTATTAAACTACCTATACTTTGCGCTTCCACCCGTATTAATTCGGTCATAGCACGACGTTTTATAATCTATAGCCGACGTTTTATATTTTCTCTGTAAATACACTTTTAAATGCAAAAAACGTTTCTTTGGTACCTATGACATATTATCGGGAATTTTTAGTAGATATTGATTACTTCTATAAAGTAGTACATCACTATGCTCTATTGTCAATAGTCTCCGCAGCGTGCGCGATACTATCGTAATTTCATTAATAACTTTTTGAAGATATAAATAGCCTATGTTTATCTGGGATAACGTAGTGTTTAATTGGTGAATAATTTTCAAATCAGCCTTAGAATAAGCTATTCGATGGAAACAATCAAATCTTTCCTCTTAATAATATTAGTGTATATTATCTCTTAAAGGGTATTCTAAATAGGTTAAATGGATTTCTTAAGACCAAATTAAACGCACGCGTTTGGTTTAGCTTTTAAATTCAGTATAATTTGTATATATGTGATGAAAATTGGTTGGATTTTTTATTTTATTTATGATACTTAAATAAATTAACAAGGTAGGTATATAGAAGAACAAATACTGGCTAACGTATAACTACGGTAGTCACGCAAGTTTGGCGATTCGTTTAACGACATCGCATTTCCGTTTAAAAACTTTTATTGACAATAGAGATTTGGGGCTTCTAACTTATATAACGACATTCAGAGTTTGTTTACAAACGTCGGAAAATCTTTGAAAAACCAGTGGCGCTACAACCCTTGGTCTTGGACTTAAATTTCTATCCCGAGTCTGTACGCCGCCGCCTTATACGCGCTGACGGGTTTTTGAGTCTAAAGCGGGCCATAGACGGACCGCATGTAGCAGTCAAGAACGACTGCAATATGCGGTTTGCTCAGGAACTGCTCGAGCGGTCCGTGTATTGCGGATATGAATTTAGTATGGAAACTGCAGATCGCACTGCGGCGACCGCATATTGCAGTCGTTCTTGACTGCTACATGCGGTCCGTCTATGGCCCGCTTTAGACCTGCCGGCCGACGGCAATAATATATATATCAATAAATAAAATAAGGTTACCGTCGGCTATGATACGTCGGTTTATGTTTAAATAAATATGATGACCACTGCGATATAATTTAACGGAAAATGTGTTAAATGATAGATATTTGACTCTATTTCTTAATACTATAGGTTAATTATTGATTGAGCACCTCTATACGCACGCTCTCAAGAATCCTCAATACAACGTGCATAGTTCGATTTGCGACAGCATCAACGAAATTTGAACCGTATGCACAAATAATAAATATTCTATTCGCATGTCTAGATCCTACTTTGAACTGCTTCGGGTAGTAAAATATCATAAAGATCAAATTCCTTTACATCTTTAAAACATTGTGGGCTTACCTGTCGTTCAGAAAGTCCAAGGCTGACGGCTAACTCTGCCTTTCGCCTGATGGTGATATATCTGCTGTAGTGGAACTCCTTCTCCAATTCTAACCGCTGATGATCACTGTATACCACTCTATATTTGTCCTTTGTTCTTGTCTTGCCTGTAACAAAAGGTTTATTTTCGTATTTAGTACTTATTGCATAATTTTAGGTATTATTTACATTCCGCTTAATTTTTGTTATATATTTTAAGAAACAACATTTAGAGTTTGTTATTTTACTTGAAAACAATCACTTTTATCCTATTTCTTTTATAATCAATACACAATGTTCTAACTAAAAATCTTCGTATTCATGATGATATTAATTTATTTTAATGGGAAAGTCAAAGGACTTTGGTCCATACAGCCATCTCTTCGTAATCAAATTTAAATGACATGCAAAAACAATCGTCTTTTCCACAGCCTAACAAACAAATTAAAAAAAAACATCAGTTAACACAAAATAGATAATTATTAATCTAAAGAATCGAATCTAAGTAATATAATTTTTTTTAATAATATATTTTAGTTATTATATTTTAAGGTTAGTTATTGTTCATATTTTGTTTTTATAATTATGTATGATATTTATGTCATTTTATCAAGTCAAATAAATCAAGTCTACTATAAAGTAATTAAATATATCAATTTGATTATAATTTCTTTACATTCATATTTGAGTTTTAATGTGTGTACATATATAGGTTTTTGTGTTTAGACTTTAGACCCTAGTTATTTTTTTAGATCGACTAACAAGATCTAAAAAGTTTTTTTAATTCCCATATTCAAGTAGATAAAACAATATCTAAATTATATTATCTATCTGATGATTATTTAGATGTTTATTGACTATTTTATACCATAGACAAAACTAGAGGGACACAGCCAGCTGTAGAATGAAGCTGATAAGATGAATCCAAGTATACTACAGAGGCACCGCAGTGGAGGCTTAGTAAAGGATCACCGAGGACCACACTGGAGAAGCCAAATATGAGAGTAAGTTTAAAATTTGTAGTCCACATTATTGGAAGTAGATATACAGCTATATCGACTAAATATTTAATTAATTTAATAGTAAAAAAACTAATTACTAGAAAATACACAGCCAAATAACAAATCGTCATGATCGTAGAACAATGTCGTATTTGAAAAAAATCTAAAATGCATTTTTTATCATATTTGGATACTAGATTGACTAAATATTCCATGTGCTTTAAATTTCAAATTAATCAGTCGGTAAAGTGACGGATAGAAAACTGTGTAATTTAATGTTATTATTTTTATTATGTTTCAAAACAAACCCTTTTGTTTGCTTTTATGCCAATTTTCATAATAACTGAATATTATTTTAAAATGGCTGCCCTGTAAAGTTAACTATTAGTCAGATCCGTCACTATTCTACGACTATGAGAAAATCAGTTATTGCTCGTGTAAAGACACAATAAACAAAAAAAACTGCGTGTACTTATGTACGCGCGTAAGAAGTTATACTTCTCTGGCATTATTAAAATTAGTTTTTGATTGCATGCAAATAATTAATTACAATTAAATAATCGATGACTGGAAAAGGAGTCATTATAGTCAATAAATTTCAGTTTACATTTGAAGCATTAAATAAATAAATATTTATTATTATTCTCTTACATTAAGTGTAACATAAATTCTATTATTATTCGAATGTTCGAATGAAAAAGGAAATTCGTGAATATTTTCAGTTAAGAAAATGTTAATTTCTATTTACATTTTTTATCTGTTGATTTCTCAACGTGTAAAATCAAGATAGGTAGATCTGTTGACACAAGAGTTGAGGTGCCTGTGTACTCGGAGTGTGTAAATAATTCTTATCTTGGTATTAGGAACTTCATAAATTATGTTTGTCACATACGACAGAAATGTGGAATTTAAAACAATTGTGTAATGATTGCTAAGAGACAGATACGCTACGCAGATACTGTGATATTCTTTTAAAACTATTATCATGGTTAATGACGCTTTAAGGGGAAAACCATTTCTTCTCCTACTGAGGTAATATGGAGTATTCTGCCAACGTATGTTATTATGAAAATTAAGGCTTGTACTAGAAGTTATTAGATGCGTAAAAGCCTTTAGGTTTTTCCTACTAGAACATGCGCGAAACAGACATTAATTTGCTTGCTTAGTTGTGCTTTAGGGACTCACTGAATTAGTTCTTAATAATTTGAATGAATGTTTTAAATCAGTAATGCTCGAAAAGTTACCACGGACCTAGTCAAGCCCACGAGCCTACATCTGAAGTAAAAAAATAAATCAGTTGCGCTACAAACTTTTTAGGTCTGGGCCTCAGATTTTTGTATCTGTTTCATGATCATGCCTAACTCACGCCGTGGACTTTTTTAGTCAAAGGCAAGCCGGTCTCACGATGTTTTCCTTTACTGTTAAAGCTCCCTAAAGCTTTAGACTTACTAATTTAATTATTTATTTCGAATTCCTACAGCTAACATAAATTATATACACCAAAAAAACAATTAGACTAAACATATAGTCAAGGATAGAATACATAATAAGGTTCAAACATTTACGAATGAAGAAAATCAATAAAATTTATAGCGCTATGGATGTTCTTAATATTCCTTTTAAGCATATTCCGCGATAGCTTAAACTATTTTCAAGATTAATAATTTTAGTGTTAGTTTTTATTTTCTAAATCAGTACATAATGGAAAAGTTACCGCAGCCCAACAATAACTTCCTTGTCACAAGCCTAGATCTGAATATATATATATATACTAGTGGACCCCACAGACGTTGTCCTGCATGATATTTAAAGCGATTAGGATATTAAGCAAAGTATGAAAGTACCGACTGCAATGCCATCTGCCGGGCTGATTTGTGAATCTAAACCATTCCCAGATCCCCTTGAACACACACAAAAAATTTCATCAAAATCGGTCCAGTCGTTTGAGAGAAGTTCAGTGACATACACACTCACAGAAGAATTATATATGAATGTAGATGATGTAGAATATAGAATATATTACATCACATGAGACCCACGAGCTACCTCCGACAAAGAATTAGTCTAGCTATTCAAAGGGGGAGGCAGTGTTGGCCTAGTGGGTTCAGCGTGCGACTCTCATCCCTGAGGTCGTAGGTTCGCTCCCCAGCTGTGTACCAATGGACTTTCTTTAATAATATCTTATTATATTAATGGGAAACTGTGTATAAAAGCAATTACGTTTTTAAATTAAATGCCATTACATAGTTTATTTTTAAAATAATTTCAATACGTAGTAAAACACGTTGAAAGTTAAAATGACAAAATAAATTTCCTGTTGGGGATGCAAACAAAATGAATATGCGCTCTGTCTATAGAAAGATGCGGTTTTGATGGAAGGTGTTAATTTTTAAGGTAACCGAGGATAGACTCATGGTGCATTACCATATTAATCAATCTAAATTTGAAGAAATAATATTTTTTTAGCTTTTAAATTGTATAACGTTGCGATTTATTAAAGCTTTATTCATTTAAAAAGAATATGTATGGGCAAACGGGCAGGAGGCTAATGTAAAGTTAAATGATATGACATGGACACTCAATGCCAGAGCGATCGATCGATTTATAAGTGGGTACTACGCTTTTTTCCTTAAAGGACCTCAAGTTTTTATTACTTTAGGAAATACTTAAGTAGACAGCTAGTTCCACAATAGGCGCCCAAAACTGCAATAACACTCAATTGTTGAACGATGGACGTCGAGGTGATGCGGGTGGAATTTCGTATTCCGTCTCCAAGTCCGATGATGAAACTGCGCATCGAATGACTGATGTGCATTTGTTTTTATAGTATTGTTAAGTTATCTTTATGTAACTCTCATTATATGTAAGAATTATGTATCGCCAACGGATCTTAACATTTATTCAAGTTACGTTCTTAATACTGTAGAAAATCTCATTGCGTTATACCTACAAAAACTAATTCATAAATCAGGGTACGTGTGTCACGCTTATTTACTAGAACTGACACGAGAGTGATAAAGACAAAACATTGGTAGTTGATGCTTAGGGTAAAATATTAAAACATAAACAGGAATGTAAAGTCGCTTACAGCCGAATACTTGTTTTATGAAAAATAATTCTTATATATCTATAATAGCAAAACAGTTATCATTTGAATCAGAGAAAATATTTGTAAACAAACATTGCGGGCGGGCGTCGGCCTGGGGCGGATAGAACTGCCTTATCACAGGCAAATATACGCTTAGATAAAGTGGCCCCAGACCTCATCTCAGTCGCCATTTTACTATTCCAAATTCAAAAGCGAACACTCCATATTTAAAATACCTTTCGTTGTCACGAATTGCAATCGCGATTTTGTTAGAATACACTTAGTTCAGGCACAGAACACATCTATTATTACTATTATACTTGTTTGAAAATATTGTATGAAACATTCATCGCATTGTATGTATAACCTACTTTATGTACATAATAAGAATTGTATCTTGAATACACAGAGTATTATTCGAACACTCGTACGTTTCACTTCTAATAACTCGGTCCGACACCAAACCTACATGGCGACCCTACCAGCGGAATCTTGTCGCGAAATTATTCGATATTACAATGGAGAGTGAATTTTAATTATTTCTACGGCTTAGACGTTCGCGTGATTATAATTATTTCCGAAAATGGAAGGAAAAAGTTCTAAGGATGAGACCCTCATCATGCAAAACGCGGCTGCCGGAGGTTACCATGCTGGAAGTCCGATTTCATATGTCCACGACCAACATAATACTGGCTGTTATTCTGCACGTTCTTCTGATTGGTTTATCATGTTTTTATTTTCATAAATTTTGATGAGGATTTATAATTTAACTCGGCCGATCGTCATTTGATAACTTGCTTTTGTTTTGTTTAGGTTATACTAAACTCATTTTTTTTATTACCTTTTTGCCAATTATATCCGTCCTAAATTTTTATAATTTTATACTTTTGTAAAGGCTTAGCAGTATCAGTCTAACCTGTAGTCTCACTAATTTTCTCAATATCCTTACGACTGACAATTGTGTGTATTTCATGTTAAGAATATATGGAAACCAGGTATGTATACTCAGGGCTTATTATCTATATATATAATTCGCGTG